AATTGCCTTGAGCCATGGGCACAGAACAGAGGGGTGCATGCTGGGCTCCACAGGCCTGAGCTGGATCCTGGCTGAGGTAGGTTGTGTCTAAGGCCGAGGGTGCACCATGGAGCTCCTGGGGCAGTGTGCCCACCAGAGTGGTGGGTGATTTCTGTGGTGAGGCGTGAGGCAGTGCGTGCTGCCACTGTGCAGCAAGCAGCATGAGTCATGGCTGGGGGGCGTTTGTGATGCCTGCCAGAGAAGGACCTGAGAGCTAGCTGCAGGCTGATGGGGCAGGGTCTGCCGTGCAGGGACCATGATCTCTTCCCTGGGGGAGGCTCTGACAAGGTTCCTGAGGGGCTGTCAGGGCTGTTTTCCCCTGGCACGGGTGAAGGGTAACGGGTGGGAAGACGGTTGGGCCCAGGATGTGGCTCTCCTCCCCTCTTAAGGCCATCATTGTGTCATACTATCCCCAGGTCTGTGGGGGCAGGGTGCCTCCTGGCAGGCCAGGGAGGAGGGTGAGGAAAGGACCCTGGGCTGAAGAGCTGCGCCAACCTCCGGTGCCCTCTTCTGGCCAGGTGAGCGACCTGCGCAATCAGGTCTACCTGGAGAACGGGCTGGACCCATTCCCAGGGGAGGGCCGTGTGGTGGGCTGGCAGAAGATGCGCAAGGCCTCGGACAGAGCAGAGAAGCAGCAAGGTGAGCTGAGCCAGGGGCTGGGGGCTGTGCGGGAGCAGCTTCAGGTAGCTGCTGCCTCCTCCACTCGCAGTCCCTCCCTGGCCCAGCAGGCTCCACGATGACCGCTGAGAAGTTCCTGAACAAGCTCCCCAAGTTTGTGATCCGGCAAGGAGAGGTGGTGGACATCCGGGGCCCCATCAGGGACACTCTGCAGGTGAGGCCAGCCCTGGAGCTGTTAGAGGTGAGGCTCTTCACCATCTCTGAGCCTAGTCAAGAGGCCAGGCCATCCCCTGCAGCCATCGGCACAGTCCTAGGGCCGCTTCCCTGGCTCCTCCTGAAGTTTCCCCTTCTCCATTTCCCATCCTGTTTCTCTTCCCAGGCCTCCATCCCTGAAAAATGCAAACCTCAGTTGCTTGGGGCTGCCCTACCTTCTGTACCCCCAGCGCCTAAGCCCAGCCCTGCAGCCGCCTGCTTCCTTGCTATGCACTGCCCCAATTGCTCTAGGCCTGCCACCTGTACCTCCCCTGGCAGTTGTCCTTGTGCTGGCACCTAGGGCCTGGCCCACACCACTGGACCCTCCCCAATCACCTCTACACTTTCCTCCCTCCCAGTCTGATCTGCTTCTGGCTCAGCCACATTAGCTGCTGGCTGTTTCCCAGATGTATCATGTCCTCTAGGAAGCTTCCCCTGACCCTGGGATTTCTGTGTGCTGCCCCTGTCCCCCCTGTCCCCCCTGCCCATCCAAAGACTGCCCTCAACCTTTCCTGGGGAAGGCTTCCCTGGCTCCAGGCTAGGTTGGGTATCCACCTGGTCAACACCTGTGTGGGGCTGTTTTCCCGCCACCTGGAGGGGCCTGCTTGGGGCCTCCTCCCCTTAGGCTTCAGGCAGAGTACCTGCTTCTCCTTTGGCTGCTCCCTGTGAGGGTTGGGGCCATGGCTAAAGTGGGACCTGGGCCTCTTTGGTGCCTTCCAGAGCTGCTGCCCACTGCCGGCTCAAGTCCAGGAGATCATAGTGGAGACACCTGCCTTGGCCGCTGAACGAGAGAGGTGAGGGCAGGGTAGAGAGGTGAGGCTGTGGGGCTTAGATCCCCCAAGAGCTGACACTTCTGTGCTCTCAGGAGTCACGTGTCCCCCGATGCTCCTGCGCCCCCGCTTTCCATGCTGCGTGTCAAGTCTGAGAATGGGGAACAAGCCTTCCTACTCATGATGCGGGCCGAGGACACCATGGGTGACGTGCGCGCCCTGCTGGCGCAGGCCAGGTGGGCTGCGGGCATGACTGGCAGCCCCCAAGAACTAGGGCCTCATTGGCTTCACCTGACCAGCCTCACCCACTCCCCAGGGGCACAGATGCCACCACCTTCGAGATCTTCAGCACATTTCCGCCCACCATCTACCAGGACGACACACTCACGCTGCGGGCCGCTGGCCTGGTGCCCAACGCCACACTGCTTTTGCGGGGACGCAGGGCCCTGCCAGCCAGCACCAGCGGCTTCAGTCCCAGTCCTGGCCCCCACCCTCAATAAAGCGCGCTCCCGAGGCTGGCGGCTCTGAGAGGCTCAGTCGGGGCGAGGCTCAGTCCGGGGCGGAGGAAGGCTGGGGAGGGGGCGGTGCTGATCCTGCAGGCAGTAACCCGAGCCCCAGCTGGCGGGCCTGGCTGCTGTGTCTTTGTCCTCCAAGTTCCCCTTTCTCTCACAGAAAGCAGCAAGGGTGAGTGAAGGGAGGAGGGTGTGGCCGGCAGGGACTACAGCAAGGACCTTGGGCACCCACGGCTGCGATCCACAGCTGCGGGGCTCCCTTCCTTTGCCCCACGTGCAAAGCACTGTCATGGCTGCACCCATGTCCCCCAAATGGCAGAACTGCAGCTGTGCACCCACTCCCACAACACCCACACCCAGCCGCCCTGCTTCATCCCGGGCAGACAGCGAGCGACATGGCACAGCCGTACACCCTGATGGGCCTCTGCATGGCAGTGACAGGGACCCCACCACACTCTAGGGTGGCCCACCAAGGTGTGTGTGCGCCAGGCAAGCATCTAGTAACAGCCACAGGTGCAGCTTGACTGGTCCCATGGCCCAGCCTCTCCCAGGGCAGGACCCGCAAGCACACAGACACAGAGCCACTATTAGGGGGCATTTAATTGTCTCCAGGGTGCTCCTGGGAAAGGGACTGTGGGGCCTTTGGCAGAGCCCTGGCTGAGGGAACCAGCAGAAGTGCCCCGTCAGTGCCAGGCAGGCAGGTGGCGGCCCCAAGGACTGGCTAGAACCGCCAGCACTGGGGCTGTTGCTTAAGACAGTTTCTGAGACAGCCTTGGAGCAGGGAAGGGAGGCCAGGGTGAGGGAGAGGGACTCCAAGGCCAAAAGGTTAGGAATGTCAGACAGCTTGGTCACACGGTCCTCGGAGCCAGGTGAGGGCTGTGGGGAGGACATGGGGACCAAGTCCGGGAGAGCCTCAGGCCAGCTTCAGGAACTCCTGCAGCGTGTTCTGCTCCACAGCCTCCACAAAGAGCTCATAGTCCTAGGGGCAGGGGACGAGTATGTGGTCACCCAAAGGACCCCAGTGCTGTGTCCCTCAAGGCAGCAGTCCTGTCCCAACACTCCCCACGCCCAATCCCCTGACCCATACCCCACAATACTGGTCCCCATTGACAATCTGCGGTGGGGTGGCCTTGGGGTTGCCCGCCAGGGCCCGCATCTCGTCCCGCAGGGCGTTGTCCTGGGAGATGTCCACTAGCTGGTACTGGATGCGCTTTCCGTCCAGGACACGAGTCACCTCGCTCTGCTGGGACTTGATCTGGGCAGAGGGTAGGAATGAGGGCAGGAGGAACAAGCCTGTGACCAGGAGCTTGGGTCTCTGCCCCACCAGGGAGTGGGTGACATCAAGTCGAGATGGTTTCAGGGTAAAAGAGACAGGCTGGAGGGGCTGGGGGAGCCAGGAATTCAGGGAGTGGGGCGGCAGGCAGACCTGGCAGGCCTGGGTTGAGGGTAGGAAAGGACCCCCATCGCCACAGGCACGAGTGGGTTAAGGACGAGGTCAGGGTCAGTTTGCTAGCGGGGTACAGAGAATTGGTCTGTGTTGGGGGATGGGCGTGGGAGGTTCCGGCTGCCGAGAACCCAGCCCGTCCCAGGAAGGGGTTGAGGCTGGGGCCGTGGACCTGGTGGTCCCTGGGGGCCGGGCTCTGCACCTCGTCACCGCCCCCGTCCCGGGGAAGGCTTCCAGACGCCCGGGGACCCCAGCGCCGGCCGTGTGCGGGCGCGCACTCACTTCGCGGGAGCCGGTGACCGACGTGCTGTAGACGCGCAGGCCGCTCATGCTGCAGGCGGACAGCCGGGTAAGCAGGCTCGGGAGGCGGCGGCGGCAGCTGCACGGCCGAGACGACGCGGCCGCGCTCGGGAGCGGTTTCCTTCCTGCTCCGCCCGCGAGTCACCACGCTCGGGACCAATGGGCGGCGCGGGCGGCCGGAGGGGCGGCGCCTGCGCGGCCCAGCCCCGCGCCGAGGCCCCCCTTCCCCCACGGTGGCCAGGCGCGGCGGGACCCTAGACGCACACTGGGACACTCCTGCAGCCGCGCCACCACGCCCTCTGCTCCCACCCGCTCTGCTCCGTGCTCTCCCCTGATCCGGTGCCCGGCGAGGGGCTTGCACGCCCCCACACCCCGCCCCAGCCACCTGGTTTGATGCAGCAACCACCTCCTCACGCCCAGCGGTACCAGGACGATTGTCTTGATAATAGGGTTCAAAGTGTGGCACTTTGGGAGCCTTGCGCTATTTGAAAACCCCAAGTTCCCAAACAAGGCGCCTAGCTCCAAGGCACCGTCCTCACGATGGGAGGCATAGCTGAGGCGGCCCCTGCCAAGGGGTTTTCCTCAACTTCCTCTCTACTAAGGTGGGAAGGGAGCCCCACCTTGAGGAAGCTGCAGAGAGCAAGGAAGGAAGCTGAGCGCTCCACAAGGTTGGCCCGAGGTTGGGCTGGGGTGGCCCTTGCTGAGCACCTGCAACTGGGCTTGGGGCAGCCCCAGCTCAGCCCGGTTCGTTGCTGCAGATGGCAACCCAAAATGCCACTTTGAGCAGGCACCAGGAGGCTGGCCCAGCATCAGAGACAGCCTCACCGAAGCCCCTCCACACCCGGGGCCCAGTCAGGCCACAGGGATGTGGCCTCCTCCCTGGGTAGCTCTGTGCCACAGAAAACACCTGGCTTGCCCCCTGACTGGCGGGCAAGAGGCTGGCCTTGCTGAAGGTCCCCATGGTTGCTGCCCTGGGGAACTGGGCCAAGGCATACACCATCTGTCTCCAGCAAGCCAGGGATGGGGTGGAGGGAAGATGCTGATGTAAGATTAGGAGGGCTGGAGTCTGTTAAGTACTTTATTCTGTAGTCAAAATGGGCAATACAAACAGTTGACATAACAAAGATTCATATAAATAACCGCTTGGAAACTTGAACACTTAGAGCACTCAGAGCACCACCCGTGAACGTGTGGCCAGGCTCCCAGCACAGGGTGGAGGCCGAAGCCCAGGGGCTCAGGGAAGGCCAGCGGGTGGAGCTCCTTTCAATGGAAGGGATAAGTCACTCCATAAATAAAACACTAACTTGCAAAAACACTTAGGAAGGAGCCTCATTCAGGCCCAGGAGTGCAGTCCAGGAGGTGGCCATCAGCCTGAGAAGCTTAGTGACAATACTGCAGTGGCAGCTTCTAGGTCCCTGGATCTGCCCAGTGCATTACACTCACATGTGGTCCCTGCCTGGCCAGGCTCCAAGTCTAGAAAAAGGCCTGGGGTGGGCCTTGCCACCACATAAAAACAATTGTGAGATGCACCCTAAACAGGAGGCAAGAAAAAACAAGAAAGCAGCCGGTACAAACAAAAAACACTAAGTTAACAAAAGCTGTGCCTTCACAAAGCTGGCCTAGGCTGGGTACTCTGGGAGGCCAGAACAGGGAAAGCACTCCCCTCCCCCAAGACAGGAGGCACAATCCAGAGGCCAGGCAGTCTCAAACCTGGGGCAAGGCAGAAGCAGCTTGACAAATGCCCTGGAGCCTGCTGGGGGAAAAGTCTTCCCAGACCAGACAGAGGAGTCTGTAGTTAAAGCCCAAGGCAGGAGCTACCTGGGAGGCCTGAGAACACGGGAGGCAGCTCTTGCAGACATGGCCAGGATCCAGGGGACAGCAGGATAGCTGGGGAAAGGGGATCCCTGTAGGATTGGCAGCAAAGAGCAGAAGAACCCTGGCAGAACCCCTAGGCTCACAATCCAAGTGGGTACTCTGATAACGAAGAACTCGCCCTGAGGAAGCAGCAGAAGCCTGGGGAAGCCAGCCAGGCAGCTCAGGGCCCAGGAAGGCTGCCATGAGGGGCCTGGGATCCTCAAATCATCGCTGTTCGTGATACCTGGGATTTCCAGCCCTTCCAGTGAGATGCAGGGACTGACAGGGCCAAGGCAGGGAGTGGGAATGCATGTGGCTCCATCCCAGAAGAGAGGAGGAGGTGAGCAGACTGTTGGCTTCTGATGCCAGCCTAGGGCTCGGAACGGCCTGGGAGGACTCACCCACTGTACCTGCCAGTTAGTCACTCACCCTCGGGAGGTCAATCAGGGTAACAGAACAAATGCAATCCCACAAGGCAAAGCCAGCTGGGATGGGCAACAGTTCCCTCAGCAACCCTTAGCCTCCAGATGCAGGCTCTCCCCTGGGAGCCACACACAGAAGGCAACACAGTGTTAGGGCAGGAATCCCTTGCACTAGGCTCCTGCAGGCCCTGTGGTGCAGCCAGTCCCAGCCCCGCATTCCTCACTGTGTGGCACAGTTTTCTCCCATGTCCTGGGCATATCTGTCTGACATGGTGGTCCTTAAGTCCTCGATTTCCCGGCGTAGCTGTTGAACCTCTTCCAGCTTCCTCTTGATCACATCTGGCTTCTGAAAATCCTGCTGTGTCTCCAGATGCTGTGTAGCTGGGGAGGAGAGCATTTCAAGAGAGACATTAAGGGTTGCAACCCAAAAAGGCCCAAGACCTCAGGACATGCACCTTTTAAAAGGCAGCTGTGTACAGCGGGCTGCAAACGGGCTGCCCAGGAGCAACTTTGTTTGTCCTGCATGCAAGGTATTTAAGGATGCTCATTTCCAAAGCAGATTGATGGAGCATCAACTCTGTGAAACATAGCAAGCCACAGAGAGCAGGGATCAGGCCTCTAGGCTCCTGCCTGTCCGTCTCAACAGGAAAGCTTTCAGGGTGAGAGGAGGAAGATCCTTCTGCTATGGGCATCACACACTCCCGAGAACTCACAGTGAATGCCCAAGAGCAGGGAGAGATTAGGGTCATGACCCTGGGCCCTCTGGGTGATGATGCTGCAGACAGCCTGCAGATCCTGAAGGCAACGAGTCAGCTCCTGGAGCAGCTCAGACACCAGCTGGGCTGTGTCTGCTGAAGGCAAGGTCCCCGGCTGGGCTTGGCGCAGGTGCTCCTGCAGGGTCAGATTCTTCTCAATCAGGTCCTGGTTTTGTACTGAAAGCTAAGCACAAAGATGGGCAAGAACATGTACCCATGCCAAGAGGCAGAGCTTCCTTCCCTGAGGGTGGGTGGCCATGGATGTGCATGTGGGGGAAGGCCTGAGTCACAGACAATGTCCCCCTTCCTCAGCTCTCCACCTTCTGCCCCAGAACTGGCTTGGTTCCCCTAGGGGCTGCGTAGGCCCCTGGGGAGGCAGCGCTGGAAAGGAAGTTGCTGCTCCCAGCCGACTGACTCACCAGCCTCTGGGCTTCTATGCAGGAACCAGAGAAGATGCGCCCACACCTAGGAACTCTATCTGAAGCCAGTCCCTCAGCCAACTCTGTTAGTCAGGCTATTAGAGACGGCTCACCGTCAAGGCTGCAATCTGAGGAGACACTGCTTTCAATCTCTCCGTGCCACCCAGACCAAAGTGGGTGGCCACCAGCCAGTCAAAGGACTGACGGGGCAGAGCCAGGAAGACAGTCTGGTAGGGCGTGGTCACCAAGTCACAGCAGGAGAAGCTGGAGACTGGGGGTTCTGAGCTGCGTCACAGCCTGCCGAGGCCCACCTTCACCTCAGTGACTCAGGCTCTTGTGCACTGACTGCAGGTACTCTGCCCCCCTCCCCGATGCCGGAGTCCACTCTCCTTGCCTCCCTCTCTCGGTTGTTTTAACGCTTGTGAACAGACCTTCTCTTTCAGTCCTGGCCGCAAACCACCCCTGGACAATGTGATCATCTTGGGACAGTTTTCTTAGACATCCAAACAACATTCCTTGGCAACTATGGTCTGCCTAAGGTGGGTTGAGGGCCTCTGCTACACAGCAGGACATAAAGGGGGCTGCAGGGATGGAAATGGCAGACAGCAAACCCTGGTGTGGGAGTGGGGAGGCCTGGCTGAGGCCACTTACCTCCTTCACAGCTGTGCGCATCTGCTGCAGAGCTGTCTCTCTCCGCTGGGCTTCCTCTCGCAGGACCTGGCATGTTCCTTCTTCTTGAGCCACTTCCTGCTCAAGGCTCTGCATCCCCAGGCACAGGATTGCAGAAGAACACACCAGGGTGACTAGTCTGATTCAGATCACCTCATCTCTGGCCCACCCACACTCTGCTGCCATTGCCACAGACCAGTTCTGACCCCGACTTCCCAATCCGTCTTCCACAGCCCTAACAGACAGATGGACAGCAGCTTCTCACAGGCCCTCCTCACCTCCCAGCCCTGTCTCATCGCCCACATCGCCCACACATGCCCCTGATCCTGGCACAGGCACTGATGCGCCTTCATGCTCCAACGCCTCCACTCAGCCCCCGTCCTCGCCACTCCAATTGCTCTTCTGCTCTGTCACCACAGGAAATCTCTATGCTCACCCCATTTTCCTCCACCAGCAAATGAAATCCAGGTGGTCCAAATCCCTCCCTATCACTCACACCACCTGTGACCCCAAAGTATCCCAGCTGCACCCACCACCGCTTTCTGGGGGGCAGGCACTAGGTCATTCTCACGCGGTCTCAATTTATTGAGCACTTACTGTGACAGGCACCCAGCACTACACAGAACAACAAACAGCTCTGTCTCTGAGGTGCTAACAGTACCAGCTATGTGCACAGGAAGATGATGCAGCCTGAATGCTTTTAATGGAGGTGACAAGAAGGAGAGAACCCACTAGGCTGTTGACAGTGTGGACATGTGGAAGTGTATGTACGTTTGTTGGCATGGTCAGGGTCAGAGGCAGCAAGATAATTTTCTTAATTTCATTCTAATTTATTTTGAAATTCATCAGAATAAAGAATTTCTTGAGGGTCTGGCATGGTAGCCTAGCAGCTAAAGTCTTCACCTTGCACATACCAGGGTCCCATATGGGCGCTGGTTCTAATCCCAGCAGCACCACTTCCCATCTAGCTCCTTGCCTGTGACCTGGGAAAGCAGTCAATGACAGCCCAAAGCCTTGGGATACTGCACCTGCATGGGAGATCGGAAGCGGCTCTGGGCTCCTGATTTTGGATCAGCTCCACTCCGGCCATCATGACCGCTTAGGGAGCAAATCAAGGGATGGAAGATCTTCCTCTCCGCCTCTCCTCCTCTCTGTGTATCTCACTATCCACTTTAAAAAAAATCTACCTCTTAAATAAAAATAAATGGAATAAACATTAACTGCTTATAAAAAGAAAATTTCTTGAAATTTTTCTATTAAAAAAATGTAACTGCCAATATAACTACATGAAATACTCAAGATGACCATGATGAACCCACTGTATTCTAACAAATTCATCTGAGATTTAAAAAATATGTATTTCCTGCCATCTACTTAAAAGAGAAAATTGGGGGCTGGTGTGATGGCTCAACTGGTCAGCCCCAAATGGGTGCCGGTTTGTGTTCCAGCTACCCTACTTCCCATCCAGCTCCCTGCTTGTGGCCTGAGAAAGCAGTGGAGGACAGCTTAAAGCCTTGGGACCCTGCAGACATGTGAGCAACCCAAAAGAATATTCTGGCTTCAGATCAGCTGAAGACCTGTCTCTCCTTCTCTGTAAAATCTGCATTTCCAGGGAAAAAAATTATTTTAAAAAAGTGAGCCAAAAGAAGTACACACTGATTCACCCTCCAAATACCAACACCGTTCCTGGACGGCCAAGGCCAGGAGGCAGGGAGTCCATCTGGGTGGTAACTCCAAGTCCAAGGAGCCATCCCCACTGCACCCCAGGAAGCCCAAGAAGGTCTGGAAGCAGAGGGATTAAGACTTAATTGAATACTCATGTGGGATGTGGCATCCTAGGGGGGGCTGTCCTCCCTCCCCCGCTGCCTGCCACCACTCCCCTTCCCTGCTGGCTCCACTGACATTTTACATTTTAGGCTTAACAGCTAACTTAACAATTCCAGACTTTTTCAATCATTGTGGAATTACAGTATTTCAGGAAATCTATATGGAGTCTCCATAAAAATTCTACTAAAAGCCTGAATAAACCTGACTGCAACCTTCGACTGCCCCTCAGAGTAAGTGAAGTTCATGCGTCCTGGGGTCTGATAGAATGCAGGGAACCTGCCTCCCACTGGTTTTCCATGGCAGAGCACTGCCACTTTGGCAGGAACCCTCCGAGAGTTCTCCCGGTTCACTGACTCCCCGACTCTCCTCCTAAGTCACTGCAATGTCCCTCAGCCCCTCCTCTACCCTGCCCTCTTCCTCACACTCTGCAACTTTGCCTCTCTGCAGGCTGCCAATCTTCTACACTGAAACCCAACCACATCACGCCTCGGCTGGATTTATTTTTTAAAGACTTATTTTTATTGGAAATTCAGATTTACGAAGAGGAGAGACAAACATCTTTTGTCCACTGGTTCACTCCCCAAGTGATCACAACAGCCAGGGCTGAGCCGATATGAAGCCAAGGGCCAGGAGCTTCTTCTGGGTCTCCCACGTGGATGTCGGGTCCCAAGGCTTTGGGCCGTCCTCAACTATTTTCCCAGGCCACAAGCAAGCAGCTGGAGGGGAGGTGAGGCAGCCAGAATCAGAACTGGCACCCATATGGTATGCTAATGCATGCAAGGCAAGGACTATAGCCACTAGGTTACCACACCGGGCCCTCAGTTGGATGTTTTAACAGAGTCCCTCACATACCTGGAGAATAAAAGCTAACTTAGGTTGGACAAATGAAGCCCTCCACCACCTGGAGCCCTACCTGTCCACTCACTACCTCAAACCCAACAGTCATAAGTGACAGGAGCACATTTCCCCCAAACATAGAGCAAATTATGTGACAGCAATTCTCTGGGGATGTCACAGTGGTCTCATCAGTGCAAGCACACTATGATGGGCACATGGCAGGGAAAGTGCCCAGTGGCTAAATCTTCATCTTGCATCTGCTGGGATCCTATATGGGTGTCGGTTTGCATCCTGGCAGCCCCGCTTCCCATCCAGCTCCCTGCTTGTGGCCTGGAGAAGCAGCAGAGGACGGCCCAAAGGCTTGGAACCCTGCTCCCACATGGGAGACCTGGAGGAGGTTCCTGGCTCCTGGCTTCAGACTGGCTCAGCTGTGGCCACTGTGGCCACTTGGGGAGTAAACCAGTGGACAGAAGATCTTCCTATATCTCCTCCTGTGTATCTGTCTAATAATAATAAAAAAAATCTTAAAAAAAGAAAGAAAAAATGCCCAGTGCATTTCTTCCATACGCATTCCATCCCCTTCAGTAAGCTGGACCATACATAGTGTCTGCAGGTCTATGTTCAAACTATGCTCTTTCACACAGATGATGCCCCATTCATGCTGTTCTTTACATACGTTAGGTCCAGGATCATCCCACCTAGCTCTTCCTCATCCTTCAAGGCTCAGGGTGTCCAGAAAAATCCCCGATGTTCCATTCCTGCCATGGAACCCCTGTGCTTGTCCCTCCAGGACTATGGGATCCAAAGCACTGCCAGGCGTCACTCCTCTTGCACCCTTAACATCCATGCCCAGCCAGGGCAGAAGACAGAATTCAATGTGGCTGAATTCTAGAGTGTTCTCATCCCATCTCCACTCACCTGCACTCGTGAGTGCAGCTGATCTATCTTCTGCTGTTGTTTCTCCACGACCTGACAAGGGAAAGTTATTGAGCAAGGCTGCAGAGGTCAAAGGTCAGAGGGCAAAGGGACACCTCACAGCCTGGTAGGGGATCCACAACACTGATGGCTTATTAGCGCATGAATGGCGAGTGCAGCTAGCTCTGCCTAAGGACTCCCAGGTCTGGCTAACTAGCTTCACACAGTCCCAAAGGGGCCTCTGAGGAGTTGCAGTGTGGACCCACGGCCACGGCGGTGTATGTGACAGGGACAGGGTGCAGGGAGATGTTCACACTAATAACTCCCAGCTGGTGGGACCAATTTTACACACCGTCAGTAAACACTGCTTCTTTGGCCTCCAGTTTCACAAATCCTGCCCCACTCAGGTTATTGTTACTGTTAGTTATTTAAAAAGTTAGAGTTCCGGTTTTTACACTATATGGGCAGCTAATTCCTGCAGCCTGGTTCTTTTATCGTTAGCCGAAAACACCAGACGCAATGAGGCACTTTAGGTGGTTTAGTCCAGCGCGGCAGGAACGGGACCGAGGTGGTGGGAAGAGCAGCAAGGAAAAGGGAACATGAAGGCACCTCCAGCGGGGCAGGAACAGGACTGAAGTGGTGCAAAGGCAGCAAGGGGAAGGCCAGATATAGGTACCTGGGGCTCATTACGTTCAGGTGAGCCCGCAAGGCACAGGGGGTAGGGGCTCAGGAGAGACTGAAGGCAGGGGTCAGGGGACTGGTGTCTGCAAATGAATGCCTGAGGATAACTGGGAAGTGGGCGGGGTGGGGCTGGGAGATGAAGGATTAGATTTTCAAGTGATGCTGGATTGTCTGATTGATGAACAGGTGGACCAGCGCACATTTCATGAGCCTTGAAGAGGAAATGGCTCCGGGTCTAGGGTGGCAGGTCTCCATGACGACCTTCAAATCGCTCCTTAGACTTACAGCTTTAGTCACACTAATGACCCAAGGAGAGACCCTGTACCATCCTGACCTCTGGTCCATTAGAACCTGAGGCAGTCTGAACCATCCTTGGGACTTGGTTTCACTGACCTGGACCTGCAGTCAGTCAGTCTCTGCTGACCTGAGCAAGCAGGGCACTCATTGGCTAGAAGTTACAGCAGGAAACTGACTTCACATTGAGTCATCTGGAGTAAATTCAAGTCTTCTGCCTGTACTCTAGATGAGTGAAGTCTGCCTGTCCCAAGGATGGATAACTCAAATGCACCCTCAGCACGCAGGAGTAACTTCTCAGAAAATAAAAGCACTCAGCAGTAAATCCAAGGTGGCCCCAGACTGAGAATGTGTGCTTATTTCTCAATACACCATCTTTTCTCCCTCCCAGCCCCCACCCAGTCACCTTGCGGAGGGAGTCACATTCCTGCTGCCAGGTCTCTACGTCCGTGCTGGGGCCTTCACCTCCACTGGTGTTCTCCATGGACTGCTTCTCTTGCAGGCTGAAAGACAATGGCTCTTCAACAACTTTGAAGTCTGAGAGATGTTCCTCTGTCTACTGTTTCAGGACAAGCCACGTGGGCTCCTCCAAGCTCTGGCTGGGGAGGCTTCTTGTCTGGTATCTGTAGCTGCTGAGTCATAGAGAAGTTGCTGCCCACGTCAGGTCTATACAACATACCACTGATTCTCCCTCCATTTGCCCCATTCTTGTTCTTACATTTCACATACATTTCTTTTTTGGGGGTATAGATACTGTTCCCTAACTCTGCTTTTGACTCTGTCTTCTCCAGCGGGCCGCCCACAAATCACTTCCAACACAGCCCCTCTGCCGAGACCAACAAGAAGCCACTGTAGTTGACTGTGGGATGAGAAATCCAATCAACTCCATTAGAAATTGGATTTGGTCCAAGAAGTACTGCAACAAAACCATCACATTCTCAGAGACTGTTACTAATAGGCAGGAGGCTCCCAAAGCACCTTGGGAGCACACTGTGGCATCTTGTTTTGTTCTCGGACCTGTCACGGCAGTCAGAGCATCCCCGAGGGCTAAGGTGAAACAGATGCTCCTGAAAGCCCTTCACATACAAGGTTCACAATGTAGGGAACGCCTCACTCTCAGCACCAGGATCGACTCTGGAAAAATGTGCACACAGTCCCTTTTTCAGTTTATTATGTGTTTTCACTTATTCAGTACTTACCTCCACTTTCAGTACCCACATTCACACACCATTCTAAAGATACAGTGTCTGCCCATAAGCAATGGTCACAATCCATTCATTGCTAAGAGAAAATTTAGAGGACAATGATTTCTCTCCAAAATCATGTAAGTAATGAGTGGGGTAGCTGGGACAAGAACCTAGTTCTCTATTGCTTTCCCAAATCCCACAAGCACATCATTTACTTGTGTCTGGAAAATTCTGCTTCCCGCTCTCTCAGGCTTTCCAGTTGAACCTCCTTCTCCCGGCAGGCCGCTTGGCTTTCCTCCAGCAAACTCTCCAGCTCAGTCACTCTCTCTTGTAGCTCTGTGCTCTTCAATTCAGAATCCTGAAGCTGAGATACAAAAGCTAATACGTACATTGCCTGGGCACCTCTAAAGAGCAGCAGTCTAGTGACAGAGTCACAAGATGTGAATCTGGGTGTGGCTGCTTTGGGAGGCACGTGTAACGAGGCAGTGAGAAAGCTCGCCTTCCTGCCGCCCCCTGGGCGCCCCAGGTATGCAGATACTGCTGCTACCTGCTGACTCTGCTTCTGATGGTCTTCCAGTGTGGGAAGATCAGCCAAGTAGCGCTCCAAGGTTTCAATACGTTGCTGCTTCTCCCGGTTCTGCTCTGTTTCCTTTTGACATTTCTTTTTCAAATTATTGATGTGTTTATCACGACTCTTTACCTGGAAAAAAATTTTTGAAGAGTCTGTCTGCATTTATTCCTCTAGGACCCTGATCCTCAAATATCCTAGCAAGTGGCCACTGTCTGCCCTTGGGACTGTGCATATGAGTCTACTGCAGTGAATGCAGAGGGTTAATCAGATTTTGCCATTTGGGATTAGGCATAAACTGCAAAGCAAACACATATGAACTTTCCAGGTAAAGGCAGAATCAAATGGCTCCCTAAACAATTCTTTAAAATTTGGTAGCTCTGGGACAGGTAAGTCCATAGCAGGTAAGTCACTGCTAGGGACTTCTGCCTCCTGGTTCTAGTCAGCATTCTAGCTTACAGCTAACGCACACTCAGAGACCACAGGTGATGTGTCAAGTATTGGAGTCACTCTACCCAGATAGGAGGATTAAGCTCGGGCTCCTGGCCTCGACCTGGCTCAACCTTGGCCACTGTGGGTATTTTGGGAGTGAAAAAGCCCCTGGCTTCAGCCTGGCCTATTCCAGCCACTGAGGCCATTTGGGAGAATAAGCCAGTGGATGGAATGTCTCTCCTCTCTGTTTATCTGCCTTTCCAACAAAAATATTTTATTTTTAGGGGAAGGTGGGTCTACAAAGAAAAAGAGATAAAGAAAAAGATCCTCCATTTACTGGTTTACTCTCCAAATGGTTACAACTGCTGGAGCTGGGGCATTCTGAAGCCAGGAGCTTCTTCTGAGTCTCCCACATGGGTACAGGATTCCAAGGCTTTGGGCCGTTCTCTACTGCTTTTCCAGGCCAAAAACAGGAAGCTGGATGGGAAGTAGAATAGACAGAACTTTGGTGCCCAGATGGGATGCCAGCACTTATAGGTAAAGGATTAGCCTGTTTAGCCACATTTTTCTAAAAATTTAAATTGTTGTCATTTCTATTGTATAATCAGTATTATATCTGGTCTTTGTCCTAGGTTCCTGGGTTAACCTCTAGGCCTTCAGCAACCCACTCAATAGATTTTATCATTTCTAGTGGGCCAAATTCCACAGAGAATAATCTGTGCTAACAAGCACAAGGGTTGGTCACCAGCAGGGCAGGTGTATCTGAGTGTCACCTCCTGGGGGAAGAAGGACCTACACAACCAAACTCCAGGAAACACCATCACATCAAAGCCAGCTGGAGCTTCCAGGCTGGCACATACATGGATGAGAGGGAAAGGTCACAGGACCTGATACCCAGGGAAAGCGGCCTCCTCCCAGGATTCTCCCAGACCTCTCTATGCTTCTTTTCATTTGGCTAATCCTGGACTGAGTTTATAATGAAGTAGTACAGGCCTTTGTGGGCTTGTGGGGTCTGTTCTAGGGAACTTACTGAATTTGAATCAGTGATCACAAGTCTGAGTGGGGACTGGCAGTATGGTGCATCAGGTTAAGCCACTGTTCGTAACATCAGCATCCCGTATCCAAGTGCTGGTTCAAGTTCTGGCTGCTCTGCTTCCAATCCAGCTTCCTATTAACATGTCTGGAAACAGTGGAAGATGGCACAAGCACGTGGAGCCTCACCCGTGGGGGAGACCAGGATGGAGTCCCTGTCTCCTGTTTTTGGCCTGGTCCAGCCCTAGCTGTTGCAAAGAAGTAAACCAATGGATGGGAAATGGACAGATCTCTTTCTCTCTGCTTTAAATTTTTAAAAAAGAAAAAATATTTATTTTTATTGCCAAGACAGAGATATAGACAGGAGGAGAGACAGGAAGATTTTCTGTCCAATGATTTATTCCCCAAGTGGCTGCACAGCCAGTGCTGAGCTGGTCTGAAGCCAGGAACCAGGAACCTCCTCTAGGTCTACCATATGGGCGCAGGGTCCCAAGCCTTTGGGCCGTCCTCGATTGCTTTCCCAGGCCACAAGCAGGGAGCTGGATGGGAAGCGGGGCTGCTGGGAATAGAACTAGTGCCCATATGGGATCCTGGCACATTCAAGGCAAGGACTTTAACCACTATGCTATCATGCCAGGCTTGCTTTCAAGTAAATATTTTAAAAGACAATATTTTAAGCAAGTTTAAAAGCGTGGGTGACTTGGGGACCCCAGATCTCACAGATGGCATCTAATGTGCAGACTTGTCGGACACGATGCCTGGAAGATGAGCTGGCCAGTAACTCCAGAGTTAAACTGCACACAGCACTCTGGTCTGTCCCGGTGAGACAGGTAAACACCACACACTCATCTGAAAGGTCTACTGAGACTCCCAGCTTAGAGAGGCTGGGTCAACTTTAATTATCCTGGCTCTAAGGCTGAGCACAATGAAGGTACACAATAAAGAGCTGCTGAAAGGAGACTTCTCATCCACACTTACAGGGGCTTCTGTGGCTTATGAACAAAGGAAGCTGAAATAAGCCAAATCAACAAGACAAAGGTGAGAAAGTACCACTGACATCAAAGAGGCATTTATTCAAAGATAGTACTAACAAAGATCCTGGAAAGCAGAGAAGGAAAGCCCAAGTCCTTGGCCCCTGAGTCCACGGGGGATGCTCTGAGCTCCTAGCTTTGAACTGGCTCACTTCTGACCATTGTGGCCATTTCAATTTGAGGAATGAACCAGTGAATGGAGGATCTCTCTGTCTTTCCCGCTCTCTGTACTGCTGACTTCCCAAATACATAAATAAATCTTACTTAAAAAAAATTAGGCCCGGCACTGTAGCCTTGTGGCTGAAGTTCTCACCTTGCATGTGCCGGGATCCCATATGGGCACTGGTTCTAATCCCAGAGGCCCCACTTCCCATCCAGCTCCCTGCTTGTGGCCTGAGAAAGCAGTCGAGGAAGGCCTAAAGCCTTGGAATCAAGCACCTGCATGGGAGACGTGGAGGAACTTCCTGGATCCTTGCCCTGGATTGGCTCAGCTCCGGCCATTGCAGCCATTTGGGGAGTGAATCAACAGATCTTCCTCTGTCTCTCCTCCTCTCCGTACATCTGACTTTGCGACAAAAATAAAATAAATCTTTTAAAAAAAATTCCCTGAAAATATGCCAAAGGTTTGACCACAGGTCTAATCCATATCCTTCCAGTTCTGATTTCACATTTCAGTAAGGATTAGAATCACCTGGAAAACTACCAACAAAACTGGCAATCAACTCTGGATTAAAAATAAATTGATAAACTGAGTTCAGCAGCGTGGTAAATCATAATCCTCAGCCTGCTGCACCAGCACCCCATGCAGACACCGGTTCAAATCCTGGCTGCCTCACTTCCCCCCTACCTCCCTGCTTGTGGCCTGGGAAAGCAGTCGAGGACGGGCCAAAGCCTTGGGACCCTGCACTCACGTGGGAGACCCAAAGAAGCTTCTGGTTCCTGGTTCTGGACTAGCCCAGCTATGACTGTTGCGGCCATTTGGGAAGCACATTAGTGGATAGAAGATCTGTTTCTCTCTCTCTCTGTGACTTGCAAAATACATAAATCTTTGGTACTAACCTAAAAAAAGGCAACAGAAATGACATACATATAGGGGAGGGTGCACTGAGATGCAGTGAGCTAAGCTGCTGCCTGCATTGCAGGCATCACGTATGAGTGCCAGCTTAAGTCTGGCTTGTGGCCATTTAAGGAACGAACTAACAGAAGAGCTGACTCTTTCTCCCTCTCCGTAATTCTGCTTTTTAAATAAATCAGTACTTTAAAAAACAACAAAAAAAAGATACTAAACGAAAAGGCACATGGGATATTGTAAAATATCTTTCAAAGATGAGAGTAGGCAAAGGGAAGGGACAGCGTGGGAGATGGTGGACCTCTCCCGGTCGGCTAGGTGTTGCACTCCCACAAGCACCTACCTCTGCAGATAGGTCTCAGCGAGAGTGAACCCCGGGGAAGACCACCAGACGCCCGAGGACCAGCCAGCCAACACTACCCTCACCCGGGCTTTATTAACAGGACAATCAAGTAAGGAACACAGTCATAACAAAGAGGGTAGGTTCGGGGTGGAAAACAAGTATAAATAAAAACCTACGTACAAAACTGTGGGATCTAAGCCTAACATCCTTGTCAGCACTGAGATTTCAAAGGACAAAAGCTTTCCTGCCCAGCCCTCTCCACCAGCAACAGCAGACCGAACAATCACTAGAGATAAGAGACATCCAGACCCTGAAATGGAACACAAAGTCCAAGGCTGATCACCTTACAGTGAGGACTTTCCCCCAACTTTTATACACGAAAGGCAGAGAGGCAGAAACAGAGATTTTTCAGCTGTAACTTTATTCCTCAAATGCCCACACCAGCTGCGGCAGGACCGAGCTAAAGCCAGGAGCCAGGAACTCAGAGTTTTATAGGAACCCAACCACTTGGGCCATCACCTGCTGCCTCCCAGTACACGCACCAGCATGAAGCTAGAACCTAGTTACTCCTACGTGGCATGCAGGTGTCTTAGATAAAGCTCAACCATCCATCCATAAACTGATTTATTCACTCCCCACATGGCTGCAACAAGCAGGACTGGGTCAGGCTAAAGCGAGAAGCCAGGACGCCCATCTGCACTTCCTACTTGCACGGCAGGGGCCCACATACTTCAGCTGCCCTCTGTTACCTCCCAGCAGATCAGCAAAGGCTGGATGGGAAGTGGAGCAGCCAGGACTCAAACAAGCATTCTGTCTGCTAGGACATGAGGGCGTCAAAGTGGCACTCTACCTGGCTGTGCCAAAACAATACTCTCACAGATCCATATGAGTGCCCATTCAAAGGCCACCAAGCCACCAACATGAAAGACACTGAAACAGGAAAACAAAACAAAAAAGACCAGAAGGGAACAAGAAACAACACTGTAAGTAGATGCAGACACCCAGAGAAATCATAGTCAACAGGATTACAGATAAGCTACTCTATCTATGACACACACACATATAAAATCTACCAAAAAATGTAGAAGCACACCTTTGAGAAACAGAGGCATGTTCCAGGGGAAAGAGAAAGAGCTGAGGATGAATACCTTTCTGGAGTGAGCAGGGATACAGAACTTCTGATTGTTATTATAAAACCACTGGTATCTGATAACTTAGATACATACAATATTTTCATTTTTAACAAGCCTTCTAAACTCTGCTATACTAATGGCAACAGCACCTGGAAGCCTGTCAAAATGTGTGACTTCATGCCTATTCCCACAAGTGAATCTGAACCGGCATTTAAAAAACACACAAATTATTTAATTGTAATTTTCTTCGTCCTTTTTAAAAGATAGATATATTTATTTACCTGAAAGAGTGAGAGAGAGAGAGAGAAACACAGAGAGAGAGGCCATCTTTTATCCACTGGTTCACTCTCCAAATCGCCACACTGCCAGCCAGTGCTGAGACAGGCTAAAGCCAGGAGCCTAGAATTCTATCCAGGTCTTCCAGGTGGGCAGAGGATCCCTAGTACTTGGGCCATCTTCTGCTGCTCTGCTCTCAGGTGCATCAGCACAGAGGTATAGCAGCAGTAAGTCTAGAAATTGAATAAGAACTCATACAGGTTGCTGTCATTGCAGCTGCCATCTTTAAACTGTTATGCCACCACATTGCCAATTCCCAATTTTTATACTAGTTTTTATTTATGTGAGAGACAGAAAGGCAAACTGCACTCCAATCCATTAACTCACCCCTTCAGTGCCTACAATGGCTGGGGCCAGGAGCCAGGAATACCTCTGCAGCTCTCCCACGTAGGTGGCAGGAACGCAATTACATGAGTCATCATCACTACTGCCTCCCAAGGTCTGCCTTAGCAGGAAGCAGGGGTGCTAAAGAGTGCTCTGCTAAGCACACACGTGTAGGTGTTCTAATCAGAGTTTAACCACTAGCCCAACTGCTCACAGTGGATCTGATTTATTTCATTTCATTTATTTATTAAAAAAAAAAATTGAGCCTGATGTGGTAGACTAGTCACTTAAACTCCAGGCTTACATGCAATGGGAACCCATATGGGCACTGATTCATATCCTGGCTGCTTCATTTTCCAGCCAGCTCCCTGCTTGTGGTTTGGGAAAGCAGTGGATGATGCCCAAAACCTTGGGACCCTGCACCCACTCGAGAAACCAGAATCTCCTGGCTCCTGACTTCAGATAACTCAGCTCCACCTGTTGTGTGTGGGTTTTTTTTTTTTTTTGGTAGATTTATTTTTATTGGAAAGTCAGATATATGCAGAGGAGGAGAGACTGCTGTTTCATTCCCCAGGTGGCTACAACAGCTGGAGTGCAGTCTTCTCAATAAAATAACTAAATCTAAAAAAAAAAAAAGGCTTGAGAGCATTGCTCCTATTTTGACAAGTAGTCCAGAATTAAACATTATTAAACTGAGCCCTCAAAACAAGTACTTTAGATTTGCAGCAACTTGTGAAGAGGAGGCACCAGCAGAACTGAAAGATTTAAAATTAGTTTCTCCAATAATCAATCATCCTAAGCCAGGTCTAAGAGCACAGGTAGAAATAAACTCTCAAACTAGCTGCACATAGAATTTCTCTCTACTTTTCAGAGGAGAAACCACATTGTGCACACCAACTTCCCACAGGTATTTAAACACCCTGGCACAGTGTTGTCTGGTCGAACCGCCCAGGCTGGTTTTTCCCCTGGCAGCACGTCATCGCCTGAGACTGTGAAGGACTGCACACTCTTCCCCGACCGTGGTAGCTCAGTGGAGACAATGTGCCAAGGAGGGCTCCATTTCCAGCAGACTGGTCCTGCCTGAGAAGCCAGTGTAGTGTCTTGCCCAGAAGCAGCCCCAGGCAACCAGCAGCTTGCTGCCTGGGCCTTGGCCACAAGGGCATCACCAGCCCCTCAGCTTACCCTTTCTTCTTGCTTCTTCCCCTCCTCCGAATGCTTCTGCAGTGTCACTTTGAGAGATTCTCTGATGAGCTGGACTTCCACTTCTGCAGCAGACAGCTTTTTTTCCAGCTCGATTTTCTCTTTGCTCAAGGCCTCCGTCTTTTGTGCAAACTGAGCACGTAAGAAAGTGTTTTCCCGCTGCAATTCCTGCCAGACAGAGTCCCAATGTGTCACTGTCACCACCCTCACAGTCCATCCACTTCCATCATCCTTAACCCCTTTGTATTAAGAACTTCTCCAAGCAGGGCATCTCAAAATATGGTTCCAGGACTATATGTTATCAACATTACCGGATGCTAGAATGTTAGAAAAGACAAATGTTTGAGTTTAATTCTTAGGTCTAGTTAAATCAGAAACTCTGAAGATAGGTTCAAATAATCTCATTTCCATTAAAATGCACTTTCCTGTTGGACAGCCACAGCTTTAAAGCACTGCAGTGGGTATCAGAGGACCTGGGTTCAAGGCCAGGTTCTGACCCCTCTTTCTCTCTATGATCTTAGGCCAAGTTCTCCCTCTATTTTCTTCACCAATAAAACAGAAGACTGAACTAGATTTTTCTCTAAGGACCAGCCCTTCCTTGAAGATTTTATGAGATGGAAGCCCACTAGGTGGCAAAACCAGTACCACAATCCATCTAAACACTCCACAGTCCAAGGCGCAGACGCTCGGTCAACAAAGCAAGCTTACATTCAAGCTCTTGATCCCCACAGCACTGAGCTCAGGGGGAATCTGCTTTTCTTCAAGTACCCTCAGACACAGAAAAATAAAAGTGAGACCAGCTCTAAAGCATCCATCCCTGCTGCCTCTCTTCCACTTGGCTAGAGCTGGCAGATGACAATTTCCCAGGAACTTACTATCTGCTGCGCTCTGCTTTCCTTTTCTCCCAGGTATGTCCTGACACCAAGGCTCCCAAACTTTGACCTTGTTTTACCCTATGCCTCCTCTGAAGGGTACGCTACAGTCAAGATGCTCACTCTTCGAGAGAAGGGACACTCGCATCACTTGATCCCTTCCATATCTCTTGGTACCTAATGGTGCCAACAGGGAATACACTGAGCTATGACAAGCAGAATACCATTCAAGCTTCCAACAGTTACCTGTAGCCTGAGCAAGCAGACATCCCCAAGGGGAGCAGGGCGACCCAAAAGGGCACTGTGGACTTGCAGCTCACTCTCTCGAACTTTCTGCTCCAGCTGGGAAATGTGTTTCCTCTGCCTGCAAAAGCCAATAGAATCAGGTCTGGAGTTCTAACACAAACCCTGTTAGAAGATGAATCCCTACTTTCCTTAGACAGATGAATAACCAGCTTTACTGAATTGGTATTAATGGTTTGCACAACGGACCAACATGATTCAGGGGAAGTGAGGAAAGATGAGCTCCAAGACATCAGCATTTGGGATATTCCCTAGGCCCCACCCCTCCTGCCCCCAAAGAGATACACAACTGGCCTTTATTAGTCAGATTAAGATTAGGCAGCACATCAGCTCAGCTCTGCTTTGAAACAGGGTGTGGACCTGAACTAAAGACAGCGTACTTCCCATTGAGAAGACCTTGGGTGCCTCAGTGAGACCTGAGCAGAGGCTGGCCCTGCAGCACTCCCTTGTCTTACTTGTCAATGAGGAGCTCCTTTTCCTTAAGAAGGTGTTCATTGTTGTTCAAGATGCTGATCCACTGGGCTGGCTCTAAGGTGGGCAGTAAAGGAGCAAAAGTAGCAGGATGATGGCAGAGGGTTCCGTTCTGAAGCTGAAAAGACAAGCAATCCACAGGTGCTTCAACACCTGAGCACACCCCGCCGGGTCTATATTCAGGATCCAATTTGGCTCAGCCTGATAAAGCCAGTGTTTATGAGGTAATTTTAGCTCTGATGCATGACTGGAAAGAACCTGCCAGGAACATCTCTGCTCAGAAGGGCTCCAGTTTCTAAGAAAAGGTCAATTATCTTTTTATCTGGCAACAGAAGCCAACCAGGAGCAAGGATGTCCTCATCATTCAGGGAAGGAGAATACGCCCCTTTCTGCTCTAATACAAAGACTTTAAAATATATATGTGTGTGTGTAATAGTAACACAGAAGACAGAACACAGGATTCAAAGAGGGTTTTAAATCCTGGTTCTGCCACCTGCTACCTTTGTGACTTAATCCAGATTACTTTAAAAACCTAATCAGCGACTACATTTACCTTAGCAGGATGCAATGAGAATTAAGTAAGATTCTATATGTCAAAGATCCTAACCTACTACCTGACACACAGGAAGCATGCAGCCAGCGTTAGCGTCCTTCCTTGTTGGCTTTTTCCTCATAACCTTCCACTTTAGAGAATTTATCTGGTGTTTAATCAGGTCATCAACAAATTCAATCCTCAACAGCTCAAAAGCCTTTACTTCTTATCTACTAATATCTTTCTTCCTTAACAAATGTTTCCTTTGGTGTTAAAACATACAGGACAAGGCTTTCCAGTTCTAGAAACCCCAAAGAACCTCCAGGAAGGTGCTTTACCTGCATTTGCTCCATCTGTAACCGGATCAATTCCAGCTGCTGCCGACAGGTGCTGAGTTCACAAGACTGCTCCCGAGGATGCCAAGGGTCAGGATTTGGTTGCCACACCTGAGAGGGCAGAGCCTTTGAGAGCCCAGGAGCAGGCTGGAGCCCCAAGTGATGCACCCCGTTACTGCTAGGGTGTGGTCCATTTCGCTCAAATACTGCCCCACTGCCTGGTGCCTTCTTGGCCTCAGGTAACACTTTGTACAACTCCTTGCTCGTGTCAGTTCTTGGATTGTGGAAGTGGACTCGGTAGTGAGGATCTGAATAAAGGGTTTCCATCACTGCTGACTGATTGAGGGTCGGTTCCACGCTAGGAATTTCAAACTTCCTCACTTGTTCCTCTCTTTCATGGCCCACTGCTGGAAACCAAGACTGCTCATTCCCGTTGTCTCCAGCAGCACCACAGAGATACATAAGGTCTCGAGACAGGCCCGGGGAACGTTTCATTGCACCGAGGTCTCCATTTCTTGTCATCGTCACATTTTCACCCAACCCAGACAAAGGGAGTTTGGAGGAAGAAGGCCCAGCAGGTGTAGAATTTGGTTTGGCAGGAGAAGTCCCCAAAGTAGAAGGCATCACATGGGCTGTTGGAATGGTTATGTGGCTTTTGATGGGCTGGAAAGAAGAACTGCCACTTGAACTGCAAAAATCTGCAGAAAGAATAGTACTTTGTAAGTCACAATGGAAGGAGCAGGCTTTGAGGAGTTTGCTGCTATGTGCGATGCGCTCTGCCCGTCCTGGAGCCAGGAGAGCGAGTATTATAAGCATCAGACAGAAAGGCAAAGCAAACTTGACCGGACAATGTTCCTCAGGCTTCCAAATGTTCATCCCAACAAGGTAAGCCAACAAAAGGCAACGACAGCTTCACTTCTAATTTGCTCTTCAATAAAAAAAACATCTTGCTGATCAACAAACAAAGCCTAAAACTTAGGAAAACAAACAACAAAGCTTAGGAAAAAATATCACTTACTTAAAGGAAATGGATTACATTCTACTTTTCTGGAAGTTGAGCAAATCTATGCTATAATCCAGTCAAATAAAAACACTTTTTCCAAGGGCTGCCAGAATCTTCTGCAACCTCCCAAGGTTCTCCAGTGAAGGTGAGCTATGAATGTTGATAATCTGAAGAATAAGACAGACTACAGTCTTGCCCGCACCCAGGGCGGAGTGCAGCACCGGAGGCTCTGTCCTCTCCCACAACCCCAGGCCTGACTCTGGATATATGCAGCTATTCTTAGTAACTCTCGGGTTTCACTCCAGCACAGGGAGCACTTCTAAGTGTGTACATGCTGAAACCCACTGATTCCGTGCTTTGACTCCGTTTGCCTCCTTGTTTGTGCCCAACTGTAATATATAACCTACGACTACACCGATGTTTCCTTTGGCTCTGATGAGCCCCATAAAGAAGCTTCCTGGGCCCGGCACGGTGGCGCAAGTGGTTAAGGTCCTCGCCTTGCACGCCCGGGATCCCATATGGGTGCCGGTTCTAATCCCGGCAGCCCTGCTTGCCTTCCAGCTCCCTGCCCGTGGCCCGGGAAGGCAGTCGAGGACGGCCCAAAGCTTTGGGACCCTGCACCCAAGTGGGAGACCCGGAAAAGGCTCCTGGCTTCGGATCGGCATAGTATCGGCCCGTTGCGCTCACTTGGGGAGTGAATCATCGGATGGAAGATCTTCCTCTCTGTCTCTCCTCTCTGTATATCCGCCTTTCCAATAAAAAAATAATAAAAATAAATCTTTAAAAAAAAAGCTTCCTGTTTCTACTCACCTCAGGCTTCCAGGCCCTACTCTGAGGGCACAGAACCAACCAATATGGCAGGAGAGTAGGGTGCAAGCGATTTGCAAGACCCCACCACCTGTAGGTGACAGCAGGAAGCAGACTAAGAGGGCAAACACTAAATTCTGCTCTTTCAATATGTCCAGTAACCTCTCCCAAACCAAGCACATCTACCATGAAGAAAAATAATTGCCAATCTGGTTCTCTTTTTCAATCAACCAACACAGAGCCCACTCAGTTAAACAAAGCAGACATTATAATCTTTCCCTCTAAGCAGCTGTTTAAAACTGCATAATTTGGGCCTGGCGCAGTAGTCTAGCGGTTAAAGTCCCTGCCTTGAATGCACCAGTTCTAATCCAATGGGTGACAGTTCTAATCCCAGCAGCCCCGCTTCACATCCAGTTCCCTGCTTGTGGCCTGGGAAAGCAGTAGAGGATGGCCCAAAGGCTTGGGACCCTGCACCCACATGGAAGACCTAGGAGAGGTTCCTGGCTTTGGATCGGCTCAGCTCCAGCCGATGCAGCCGCTTGGGGAGTGAATCTTCAGATGGAAGATCTTTCTCTGTCTCTCTTTCTCTTTGTGTATCTGACTTTCCAATACAAACAAAATAAATCTTAAAAAAAAATTGCCTAATTTCTGGGAACACACAATAGCCTCTTCAGACCAAGAATCGAAGACATTTCTGAGTACAAAGACAATTTTGATATCCCACAATGTAAGTTGTCAGACTAGTCAGCAAGGCAAAGACCCAGTGGAGGTGACAGATGCTTCCAGGACAGTAAATGATCTGTTTACGATCCTCCATAATAGCACCAGAGTGTCAGCTCTCCCAAGGGTCCCTGCTCCCATGACAGTTCTAACTGTACAAGACAGGGAAGTGTGATCCATGAGGGAAGGGCTGCTGTCACAGGGAAGTTAGTAACACTTCCTTCCATTCTGTAACCAAAGTACTACTCTTGACTCAAGACTCACCAACTTCCGTTTGCGCCACAACCGTCAAAATAACATGCCAAACCGAAGATCTGTTTTTCTAATCAAAGAGCACACAGTCCACCTATAGATGAAGCAGTAAAGTGAAGTTCTTGTCTGTATTTCCCAGTTGCACTTATAATGCCTGATTCTGATAAAGAGTGCCATATAATGGCAAGGCACACCTTGAATCTAGTATGTGCTTTAGAACATTCTGAAACAAAGCAACACTCATTCTCTTTTTGCTAAACAACTTGGTATTTCTTTAATTTTTTTTTTTAATCAGACAGGCAAATATACAGAGAGGAGAGACAGAAAGAAAGATCTTCCATCTACTGGTTCACTCCCCAAGTAGCCACAAAAGGCAGAGCTGAGCTGATCTGAAGCCAGGAGACTTTTTCAGGTCTCCCACATGGGTGCAGGGTCCCAAGGCTTTGGGCCATCCTCGACTACTTTCCCAGGCCACAAGCAGGGAGTGGAGCAGCCAGGATATGAACTGGAGGTCATATGGGATCCTGGCAGATGCAAGGCGAGGACTTTAGCCACTAGTCTATCATGCAGGGTCCTACACTTGTTTTCTTTTTTTTTTGTTTTTTTTTTTTAAGATTTATTTTTATTGCAAAGTCAGATATATAGAGAGAAGGAGAGATAAAGAGGAAGATCTTGCGTCTGATTCACTCCCCAAGTGACCACAATAGCCAGTGCTGCGCCGACCTAAAGCCAGGAGCTAAGAACCTCCTCCAGGACTCCCACGCGAGTGCAGGGTCTCAAAGCATTGGGCCGTCCTCGACTGCTTTCCCAGGCCACAGGCAGAGAGCTGGATGGGAAGTGGAGCTGCTGGGATTAAAACCAGTGCCCATATGGGATCCCAGCACTTTCAAGGTAAGGACTTTAGCCATTAGACCACTGTGCTGAGCCCTACACTTATTTTCAAAAGGGGTGCGAGCTCATAGTTTCCGCAGGTGTTTCGAAGTAAGTGTATAGACCATGCGATTTTTATTTAGAGAACTCTATAGTTGGATACAGTTTTAAATGTCTCAACATCACTGATTCCAGGTTCCAACATTTCATTCTTTCTTGCAAACCTCTTCTCACAGTAAGGGTAAATTTAACAACTACTAAATTTCAATTACTTCTGTTTACATCCAATTATGAAATACAATAATTTGAACTAATTTTTTTTTTAAGATTATACATTTGTGGGCACAGCGCAGTAGCCTAGCAGCTAAAGCCCTAGCTTTGAACATGCTGGATTCCTATATGGGTACTGGTTCTAATCCCAGCAGCTCCACTTCCCATTCAGCTCTGTTTGTGGCCTGGGAAAGCAGTCGAGGATGGCCCAAAGCCTTAGGACCCTGCACTCACGTGGCAGACCTGGAGGAGGTTCCTGGTTCCTGGCTTCGAATCGGCCCAGCACCAGCTGTTGCGGTCACTTGGGGAGAGAATCATCAGATGGAAGATCTTTCTATCTCTCCTCTCCTCTCTCTGTGTATCTGACTTTGCAATAAAAATAAAGGATTATGTATTTCTAAGTTAGGAGTGTGGGGGAAAGACACTTGTACAGAGAGAGACTCTTTCATCCACTGCTTAACTACCCAGACAGTCGCAATGGCTGGTGCTGAGGAAAGCTAAAACCAGTTTTATCCTGGTCTCCACGTGGGTGCAGGGACCCAAACACTGCACCATCTTTTGGTACATTTCCCAGGCCATAGCAATGAGCTGGATCCAAAATACAGCCACCAGGACACAAACCAGTTTTTTTTTTTCTTTTTTTGACAATCTTTACGTAGTTAATTAGGGTAAAAAGGTACAAGGGCTATAGGAAAGTGGGTAAGACTATTATTTCCATATTGTTTCCTTCATATATCTGAGGCAAAGGGGGGTATTAAGGGAGAAGGTCCACCCAGTCTCCCAGCCACCCAGGTCCTGGATGCAGGGCATGCTCTGAGGTTCTTACTCAAGTGGACAAACCAGTTCTTGTATGAGATGCCAACAGCAACTCTATACACCTGTCATATTAGCCATGGGCAAAATATCTTGTAAGAAATGATTGAGATTGGGCCCGGTGCAATAGTGTAGTGGTTGAATTCCTCACCTTGAATGCACCGGGATCCTGTATGGACCCCAGTTCTAATCCCGGCAGCTCCACTTCCCATCCAGCTCCCTGCCTGTGGCCTGGGAAAGTAGTCAAGGATGGCCCAAAGCTTTGGGATCCTGCACCCACATGGGAGACCTGGAAGAGGCTCAAGGCTCCTGGCTCCTGGCTTCTAACTGGCTCAGCTCCAGCCGTTGTGGTCACTTGGGGAGTGAATCATTGGACAGAAGATCTTGCTCTCTGTCTCTCCTCCTCCTCTCTGTATATCTGCCTTTCCAAAATAAATAAATAAATAAATAAACCTTAAAAAAAAAAAAAGAAATGATTTGAAGCAAAACTGTTTTAGATTTTGGAGTTTTTTTCGGCTTTGAAATATGAGCTTGCACACCATCACTACTGATTTTAGATTTGCAGTCTTTAGAAAGGGAAAAGCATTCTGAGCTTACTGAGTACTCACTTTTGCCCGGTCCCCTGAGGATGTGAACATATCTAAGTGAAGGGTAGAATCAGAAGCAATTTAGGAGCAGCCAGCTGACTCTCCACCTACAGCATCCACATCCCATATGGGCGCTTGTTCCCGTCCTGGCTGCTCCACTACTGATCCATTTTGTAGCCTGGGAAAACTAGAAGACGGCCCAGAGTATTGGGCACCTGCACCCACATGGGAGACTGCAAGAAGTTTCTGGCTTCTGGTTTGCATCAGCTCAGCTCTGGCCACTATGGCCATTTGGGGAGTGAACCAGTAGATCTGTTTTCTCTCTGTAAATCTGCCTTTCAGATTAAAATACATGCATCCTTTTTTTTTTTAAGAA